GTCCTAACCCTGCCGCCCCTGGCAGGGCCAGTGCAGTAGTACTGCCCGCTGCATTAAAATACATTGAAGAGCCGCTGATATCCGGGATTGAATCGAACCGTAAATGGTTTCGGTCGGTGGTGTGTGTGTGCGCGTCGGGGTGGGGACCACCGCACCTAGATCCTCTGGAGAAGTTACGGCCAGTGCAGTGCTAATCAACGTGTTGTGTTTCTTTTTTTTTTTCTATGGTGCAGTCTTCCCCCTCTGTATTTCTCTCTGCCCCCCCCCCCCCCTTCCTCCCTATTTTTGCTGTGCTGTGGGGTGCAGCGGGGCGCGAGTGACGGCTCTCCGAGAGCGTAGAGCGCGCAGCACAGCACATAGGGCTGGTTTGCTGCTGCTCTCGCCTGCCCTATTTTTCCCGGCGACCATTTATTTTGTTTTCTGTTGTCCAATTCATGCACTCGCTGCTGCTGCTACTACCGCTCTGGCCCGTGCAGCAGTGTATACGGACAACGTATACACAAGAGCGGCGGGGGGCGTTGATTTCGCGCGGTGTGCCTCTGATGAATGAGTGTATGTTATGGAATTAAACGTGGGCGGGCGGTAGGGTAGTGTGTGTGTGTGAGTGAGTGAGTGAGTGAGTGAGTGAGTGAGTGAGTGAGTGAGTGAGTGAGAGAGAGAGTCGGAGAGACTTGTCCTGTGGCTGCGGGTAATATGGAGTGCGAGAAAGACAGGTGGCGCACACGTAGGGTCATAATAAGCGTCTCCCTCATCATTTATTTGAAAGGAAGTTGGGGGGCAGGGGTGTGGGTGATGACTAAACTCAATGGTAATATGAAATAGGTTCAGTGGTTTTTGTTTTATTTTGTTTTCTTCACTTTTTCTGCAAATATCATAGTTCTCTTGCTTTTTTGTGCTCGCGGGTTTCGTTTGCGGCACTGCTCGCGGCGGGCCCTCGGCGCTTGCCCTGTCATCTTCCGACGAGCTGGCGTCGCGTCGCGCGGCGAGGCAAAGCCACACTACCGTGTAACTGTCCTATAACGATTGTTGTCCTGTGTATCGCGTTTGAATCTAGCTTTTACTCTTTTAGTTTGGTACGCCTCAACGTGAGGATATTCTTATGTCTTTATTTCGTTCTCTACAGAGACTAACGAGTAATTTAATTTAGGCTGAGTATATCATGGGCAGCACAAATAAATTCAAGCATTTCGAATGACACGCTAGGTAGAAGATGTCATTCACACGCCGTCTCCACGCCTATTGCAGAAGCGTATCGTATTGCCTAGAAATGTTTAACGGCTAGTTGTGAGTCGGCCAGATCTCCTCTTACTGTTGGTGTGTGGTGAGTGTGTGCGTGTGTGAGTGAGTGTTGCTCGGCACACCCCGTGGCGGCCTCTATCGCCGATGGGGGTGAACTATCGCGCGCCGGGGGGAGCGGAGAGCGGCGGAGCGCAGCTGACGGCAGGATCGGAGGGGAAGGGAAGGGTTGGCCCGAGTTTGAGCTTCCCGCGCGTCCTGCGCAGTGCCGCGCCCCTCACTGGCGGCACCTCGCGGCCCTCCAGCCAACTCGGTCGCGCCAGCGCGCCGCCGTGACCGGCAGTCGGCTCGCCGCCCCTGAGCCGAGCGCAAGGCAGGCGCGCCCGAAGGGTTGAGAGCGGCCAGCCGGGCGAGAACCCGCACCCCCTTGGGGTGGCTGCGGCGTGCTGGTCCCCGACACAGCCGCTCTCGCAATGACGACGAAGCTCATGATGAGAAATTGCCATGCTCACACAGTGCCTGTGGGTAGACTTTTTCTCCTGGAATCATTTGAACGATGAATGCCACAGGCACAGGGTTGCGACTGGCTACACGAGACCAGATTATGATAGTTTGATTGTTTTATTATTTCCACAAATTCGTCCGCTAGTTTGGTAGACAGAGTGAGGGGGGCTGGCGGGCTGAGAGGGGGTCGAGAAAGAAGGAGTTCTGAAGAAGTGTCATTACTCCTAATGTCTTTATCACATGATACTTTTCACATCATTTCATAGACCCCTCCCTACTTTCCAAGTCTTTTTGATGATCGTGCTGTAGGCACATAAAGAAGTTCAAAACTTCTTTCCTTGCCCGTTCCTACAAGGCATGTCAGCTGTAGTGTGTTTTTTGGCGACATGGTGATGCCTGTGCAGAAGTGTGTGTGAATGTGTGTGTATGTGTGTGTGAATGTATTTTGTGATACCTAGTTTAGCAATGGTGATTGGTTCTAACACTTGTTAAACTCTACTTCTCCTGACATCTAACATCAGGGAAATCTTTTTAGTGGTGTTTGGGCATATACTTCTTATTCTTTCCTGTGTGTTATGTGGACTAACTTTTCTTCCTTCTTCCTTGCTCTCTTGGACGCTGCGTGGATCAAAACAGATGAGGTGTAACTCTGCGATAAACGAGCGCACCTTAGAAGAATGCTGGACGGCTCTGCAGAGAGTGAGTTTGCCTTACATACTAACCATCGTTGCAGTACTTAGAACTGTACAGTTGCCGCTTTTTTCTCGTTATATTTTTCTTTTCCATTCTTTTCTTTGTTGGCTTCCTCATTTTCTTTACTCACGACATATTTTCATGAATCATTTTCATTATGTTTTATTATTATATCCTGCAATTATTATTGGTGTAGATCTGGATTTTTTCGCACGAATATGAAATCATTTGTTGTTTCTCACTCGCCTGGTGGACGTAGCTAGCGATTGTTGTATCATGTCGCGTCAAAAAGTACAGCAGGTTGAGGAAATAAATCTCAAAACGTCCCGCTTTTATTTATGCGGTGAAAAACAAACTGACAGTTTCCAATTCGCGTCGTGCGGTTTCCTCACCCGCCACCCTTTTTTTTTCGTACGTGTCCTCTTCCGTGTAATTGAAACAATGGCAGTAGTATGTAGTCGCTGTCAGCTAGACACGGCGTCAAATGGGCGTACACGGAATGCGCTAATTGCATTTTGCTGCACATTTAATTTATTTTCAAGAGCGCGCGCGCCGCGCACAACCATTTACAATGAAAATAGTGAGTGTATTTTTGTTGGTCCC